GGAAGAGGAGGAGGAGGAGGAGGAGGAGGAGGAGGAGTAGGGGGAGCGGGAGGAGGAGGAGGAGGAGGAGGACGAGGAGGAGGAGGAGAAGGAGGAGAAGCAGAAGGATGATGATGATGATGATGATGATGATGATGAGGAGGAGGAGGATGAGGAGGAGGAGGAAGAGCAGGAGGAGGAGGAGGAGGAGGAGGAGGAAGAGGAGGAGCAGGAGGAAGACCAGCGCGAGGCCGAGTCGTGCAACCGAGGGACGGGAGCACGAGCCTTACATGCTAAAGGTAGGCAAGCCATACTGATCTGCTTGTCTCAGGGTGGCGACCGGCCTTGCTAGCAGATATAGTGTAGGGCTTCTTATATCGGGACTGGCCGTGCTGCGCCGCCCCTACACATTGCTCCTGCAGCTTGCCATGCGCAACTTTGCCACTGGACACTTGAAAGGAGCCGCACAACGTACCCAAACACGGTGCCCACGGAGCTCGACAATGTCGTCAGCCCCAGGCGCTGGATCCACATGCAGCTGAGCATCCTGTGGCAATGCATCACCTACAAAATCCGCCGCCCCTTGGAGGGCCACACTAACAGCTTGAGACCTCATGAACGGGACTCTCTGGAGCTGCTGATAGGCGTTGGCCTTCAGCCTCTCTTGGGCCGTCGGCTTGCATTGAGTCCCAAGAAGCTTCCCAAGACTGGCCTGCGTAAGGGCAACCGCTTGACAATCTTTCCATTGGAAAACCTGAGGGGTCCTAACCGCCATCTTGTGTGCAGTGAGGCCTAAACAGGGCACTACATCACGGTGGGCCTTCGAGAGCTGTTCGGGTCGGTCACTGATTTGATCACGAGCAGCCATCCATCTTGGCTGCAACCCAGGCAAAGAATCTCGCCTGCATCCGACAATCCTGTAGCCTTGCCTCGAAGTGCTTGACAATCGTCTCGGGCTGAGCTTGGACCAGTGCACCTTGCTTGGCAAAGTAGTCAGCCCGTCGATTGCCCAGAACAAACTCCCATGGTACTTTTCTACCTGCCTCAATGTCGACGTAGTCGACGTCCCTGACATGAGCAGGGCACCACAGGAAGGTCGGGCGACCCACTCCACCAGGGAACATTGCCAGGATGGAGCGCCAAATGTCAGCATAGGCCACCTGTGAATCAGAGGAGGAGGAGGAGGATGAGGAGGAGGAAGAGGAGGAGGAGAAGGAGGAGCAGGAGGAGGAGGAGGAGGAGGAGGAGGAGGAGGAAGAGGAGGAGGAGGAGGAAGAAGGAAGCTCCTCCGTACACGATGGCGTTCAGCTCCCCGCCCCGCCGGCCCAGCTCGGCCAGCAGGGCGAGGGCGGCGGGCCTGGGCGCCCCCCCTCTTGGCGGAGCGGCCACAGGGGGGGGGGGGGGGGAAACCGGCGCGCGCGCGCGCGAGGAGCCCCACACTGCCCCGAGAAAGCACGGCGAGGGCACTTTTTTATCGTTTTATCGCCGCTGGTCTGCGGACGCAGGCTTACCTGTCGGTCGGAAGAAGCAGGTCGATCATTGAAGTAGGAAGGCGCTCAAAGTATATTGGAATCTGGGAGTCCAACATGATCGACCCACGAACCCGGAAAGGAATATAGAAATGTAACACATAGCAACGTTTTCAGAGACACCAGATTGGGTGACGGGCAAATGCAATGCTGAGTGTATCGATCTTGATGTACCCTGTCAAGGGCTGTGCTGTGCTGCACCGTGCTGAATTGCGATGTGCCATGCTGCGACTGTGCTCTATAGCGTCGTGGATCGAGTCCTCCTTTGCATCCGAGTCCTGACCGAACTGATCTGGATCTTAAGCTCGAGCTGCCTGAACACATAGTAGCCGCCCCAGAGCTAATTGACAGGGGGACATGCCAGGAGGACGCGCCACGGAACGTCCCAAGACGCGCCAATCGACGTGCCAGGGGACGTGCCATGGGGTCGCACCGCGGGACGTGCCAAGGTGACGCGCTATGGAACGTGCCAATGAATGTGCCACGGGATGTGCCAGGGGACGCGCCGCGCGACGTGCCAGGGGGACTCGCCAAGGGACGCCCCACGGAACGTGCCAAAGAACGTGCCAAATTGCAATGCTGAATGTATCGATCTTGATGTACCGTGCCGAAGTCTGTGCTGTGCTGCACCGTGCTGAATTGCGATGTGCCATGCCGCGATTGTGCTATGCAGCGTTGTGGATCGAGTCCTCCTTTGCATCCGAGTCCTGACCGAATTGATCTGAATCTTAAGCTCGAGCTGCCTGAACACATAGTAGCTGCCCCAGAGCTAATTGGCAAGGTGACATGTCAGGAGGACGCGCCGTGGAACGTCTCAAGGCACGCGCCAAGCGACGTGCCAGGGGACGTGCCATGGGGACGCACCGCGGGACGTGCCAAAGGGACGCGCTACGGAACGTGCTGGGGACAAGCGTTTCGCTCGAGACATCCTGTCAAAATCCTCATGCTAGACATCCGCCTGAGCGATTTGGACACATGAAAGCAAGCGTTTCGCTCAACACATCCTCAACACATTCTCATGCTAGACATCCGCCTGGGCGAATTGGACACGTGAAAACAAGAGGTTCGCTCGAGACTTCCTCAACACATCTTCATGTCATACGTCCGCCTGGGTGACCTGGGCACGCGAAAACAAGCGCTTCGCTCGAGACGTTTTCAACACCTCCTCATTCTAGACATCCGCCTGGGCGACCTGTACACGTGAAAGCAAAGGTCTCGCTCGAGACATCCTCAATACATCTTCATGTTAGACATCCGCCTGTGCGACCTGGACACGTGAAAATATTCTCAACACATCCTCATGCTAGGCATCCGCCTGGGCGACCTGGACACGTGCAAACAAGCATCTCGATCGAGACTTCGTCAACACATCCTCATGCTAGACATCCGCCTGGGCGACGAGGACGCGTGAAACCAAGCGTCTCGCTCGAGACATCCTCAACAATTCCTGGCGCTAGACCTCTGCTTGGGCAACCTGGAAGCGTGAAACTAAGCGTCTCGCTCGAGACATCCTCAAGACCTGGGCACGTGAAAACAAGCATTTCACTTGAGAGATCCTCTGAATTCTGGTCTCCAGGAGAGGACAATCTATAACACAAAACAAGCGTTTCGTTCGAGACATCCTTAACAAATTCAAAAAACAAGCGTTTCGCTTGAGACATCCTCAAACATAATTCCGCCGGTCCTGGGCGACCTCGTTATTTATCGCAAAATAATTCCGCCGGCCCTACAGCCGTCGAAACCGGGGGTAAACCAACTAAAAGAGAATCCTGGGCCCACGCCCTTTCTGGGAAAAAATACCTGCTTTCAACGACCGATGGGTACTTGCAGAAATAAATTCGGCTGGCCCAGCCGCACGGTTGACACGCCAGCGAGGCGACGGGGCACGGCTTCGCCTTGGCGAGAGCCGCTCTGGGGCGGGGGCTTCGCGAGTTCCTACGGCGAGGGCATTGGATACATAAGGAACCATTGGATAAGGAATCCATGGTCTGGAGGCCAGTGGAATCCCCATCGTGGATTGGCCACGGACGTCTCCTCCGCACTTATCAGATCAGGAATCTTCCAGGATCTGCGGCCTCCTGCGCACACTCCTTAACGAACGCCGCCACCGCAGTGCAACTCTCGCGCGCGGTCCGAGTCTCCCCGCGCCCCAGTTTCAGCGCTCGCGCGGGGCGGTCGCACGCTCCGATTTCTCCGCCGCCAGCCGCAACCGACTCGACATCGAGATCGGGAGTCCGGGGGGGGGAGGCAGAGGATTGGAAGGCAAGATGCACCACTTGCCCAGGAGTGTATCGGCCACCCAGCTTCGCGCATCGCGCCACATGATGCGCGATCAACCTCGCGCCGGCCATTGCAGAAAGGTGGTCGCTCTGGCCCAGACCGCGACGCGCGTGGCTCGGTTATCTCCGCGCCGCCATGGGTAGCCTTGGGGGATAGAGGGGGCGCGGGCATGCGCGGAGATCGGCTGGGCTTCTGTAAGGCCACGGGCGTGCCCAGCTTCCTGTCTGGTGGGGCATGGCTGCAAGAGACCTCCCAACCTCCCAAGAGGGCCCCAAGTCGGCCCGAGAGAGCCCCAAGACGCACGACGGGCAAAGAGGGATTCCACGACCCGCAAGAGCAGAAAACAGGACGAAAGAAAGGGAGGAAAACGACGAAGACGAGAAAAGAACCCCCGATCCGACGTGGAAGAGCGTGTCGCATCTTACGGCTCTTCCAAGCCTGTGGACGAGGTGTCGTACGTCATGACCTCCTGTGCGCCCCCGAACCAGTCGCCACCTACGGTGCTGGGCTGGCACGGTGGCGGGCCTTGCGGCAAGAAGCTGGATAACTCGTGCGGGCCTGTCGCGCCACCAGACGTACCCCTCGGCTGGGTCGAGGGCTTCGCTCGAGACATCCTTACAGTGTCCTCCCTCGAAGCTTCAAACTTCCAACGATTACACGGGTGGAAGGCCAATCGTCTTCAAAATGTGGCTCTCGATTGAGCGCCGCGCGCAGTCGTCGTACAAACCACACCAGCCCTTTGGGCGTAGGTGGTCTAACGAGTTCTTTTCCTTCTCGTCCAAAACCCCTCCTCTCTTCGTGCAGGGGTACCCTCCCCCTCCCCTCCCTGAGCTTTTTGGGGAGGGGGCCCGAGGGATCAAAGCGTCCAAGATAGCTCAATATGGCCTCAATGGGGGCCTCTGATGCTCCAAGCTGGTCTACAAGATGGCCCAAGATAGCCGACGATGTCTCAAGATTGCTGACAACATGCTTCAAGAGACCCTCAAGACCGCTCCAAGACAGCCCCACGTCAGGCCTCAGAGAAACATAGCGAACAATCATACCACGTTCACCTGTGAACGCCTCTCCCTCCCCCCAATGTTCAAAGTTTGCGGTGGGTCTGATGAGTTGCACCTCGACCGCAGTCTCCCCCGCGCGTGCCAACTTTGAGTTTTGGGGGCAGAGGGGGTGTTCACTAATTGTTTCCCTCTACCGGTGCTCTCGGAGCCCCCATCAGGACCCCCCCAAGAAGCCAAACCATGTCAAAAACCTAAGGAACATCTATGACTTTTGCCTTCTCGCCTTTCGCTTCCGAGGGGCTTCCAAGGGAGGCCCAAGAGGGCCCACGAGGTCCCCAAAACAGCCACGAAGGCGCCCAAGATCGGCCAAGAGCGCTCCAAGAGGTAACTTTGATGGCCTCAGAAGGGGGGAGGCAACTCTAGGACACACCATCCTTTGATCGACGCCCTACAAGATGGCCCTGAGGTAGCTTCAAGATGGCCCCAAGACACCTTGAAAGAGCCCTATAGGAGCCCCAGGGCCTTCCAATTGAGTCCCAAGGAGGGCCCTAAGAGGACGCAAAGCAAACCCCAAGAGGACCCGAAGAGTGCCCCAAGATGGCTCAATGAGTTCTCGTCATTTTTGTCCTCCTCTCCCTTCTCGTCCTCCTCCTCCTCGTCCTCTTTCTCCTTCTCCTCCTCCTCCTCCTCTTCATCTTCCTCATCCTCGTTTCCCTCGTCATCGTCCTCGTCTTCGTCGGCGTCATCTTCCTCGTTGTCGTCGTCGTCGTCGTCGTCCACCTCCTACTCCTCCTTGTCCTCGTTCTTGCCCTCGTCGTCGTCGTCGTCGTCCTCCTCCTCGTACTCCTCGTTCTGGGGTGTCAAAGGATCCTTTTGCGCCCGCGATCTCCAAGAAGGCCTCTGGTGCTCCAAAACGGCCTCCAAGACCCTCCTCCCCCTCCTCTCCTTGCCCGTTGCATTTCACTATCTGCGTCTCTTCTTCCTGTTTCCCGTCAGCTCTCATGGGCAACGTTTCTGAGTGGGCTGGTGATGATGCGCGCAGCGTGAGTAGTTTTCCAAAGTTGCACGGATGGAAGACAAGTTGCTTCGAACATGTCTCTCGCCATAGCACCGCGCACAATCGCCCTGACATTTTTCAAATTTACACGGATAGGGGCCGATTCGTGTTGGCACTGGGGCTATCACCTGATACTTCCTTAACAACTGATACCACATGTGCAATGTTGTGCGACAGCTGCGCGGATGGAGGCCAAATCGTTGCCGAACTGGGGCTCTCGCCTGAGACCTGGTTAAGCAAACTACCACACATGTGCAACTGTGTAACAGTTGCACGGATGGAGACCGGCTTCTTTTCAAAATGGGGCTATCGCCTGAGACCTCATCGGGCTTTCTCGCCAAGGAACTGACAATGTGCAACAACTGCACCGGTGGGTGCCAGTTCCGTTGCAAAGCGAGGCTGTCGTTGGGCACCTGCTCGAATTGGCACTTGCTCGACTTTTCACAAACCGACGCTTGCTCGACCTAACACTTGTTCGAACTGGCACTCGGGGCCGCAGCTGAAAGAAGAAAACCACGAAGCAATCGCTATAAATCCCCCTCCCCCCTCCCAGCCGCAGCCGAGCTACAATTCCGGCTGCGGCCACGTGGCTGCAAGTCTCGGCTTGCTCCTCGATCGTGGCAGCAAGAGCGGCACATAATCACTGCACTTATCAATCAAGCTTCGTCCTCCTCGTTTTCCCCTTTCCCCTTCCGTCCCCAATTACGCTGAGAGCTTGCTCGCACTTCCTCAGGGAGTTCGAAGGATCGAGGGCGGTTTCTTTTTGCGGTTTCCTCCTCCTCCTCCTCCTCCTCCTCCTCCTCCTCCTCCTGGACCCGCCCCATCTCGGAACTGTGCATCCTTTCCTCGGCGAGGATCCCTCGAGGAGCATTGCTGTGAGCAAGAGCCCCTGGCCGTCGAGGGGCCTTGGACGGGAGGGTGTATGCACATCGTGTATCCGGTCTCTATCCCTGCTGGCGTGGCCTGGGCCGCACTGGCCGGCTTACCCACCCAGGTTGGGATCTATGATCCTGGGTCGAGGGTTCACAGGCACCGCCCCCTCCCCCCCACAGATGGGATGGGTCCCAAGGTTTCACAGGCCCCCCTCCCTGCAGATGGGATGGTGGACGACGACGACGACGACCATGACCATGACCATGACCATGCCCACGACGCCGACGCCGACGCCGACGCTGCGCCGACGCCAACGCTGCGCCGACACCGACGCCGCCGACTGAAGACGACAGCGACGAACCACCCCACACCCACAATGGGGAGAAGGGGCAGCGGCACCCACCACAACGCCACGTCCACAGGGCCACGACCGTAGGGGGGGGAGGAGGAGGAGGAGGAGGAGGAGGAGGAGGAGGAGGAGGAGGAGGAGGAGGAGGAGGAGGAGGAGGAGGAGGAGGAGGAGGCGGAGGAGGTGGAGGAGGAGGAGGAGGAGGAGGAGGAGGAAGAGGAGGAGGAGGAGGAGGAGGCGGAGGAGGAGGAGGAGGAGGGAGCGATCCCATTCGCGAGGCCCTGCGAACTTGGTCTCGGAGAGCTCTCGGCGAAAGCAGGGGAACGCCCACCCTCCACCGCGCCACGCCCACAGGCCCACGGCCACAGGAAGGGTTGCTGGAGCGATCCCATTCGCGAGGCCTTCGCGAGGCTCACGGGCGTACCCATCCAGCGGGGTGTGTGTGTGGGCTGATCCTATCAGCGTTCGGGGGGTGGGCAGCCCTGAATCATAATTTGCCTGCTCCTTCGGGTTTCGCGGGGCTTATCCCCACTCAGGATGGTGGGCTGGTGGGCTAAGATACCATGGCCCAGCGGGGATGGGGTCAGGCTAGACGATGCTGCATGTATGCAACATCGCTTGCATCGCATCTTGGGCCTCCCCTGCTCTTCCTCCTCGCCCTCCACCATAGCCGACCGTCTTCTGGCCCCCCGCGTGTCCAGGCGCCGGTCCACGCGCAAGCCCCAACTGCGGCACCCCATGCGACCACGTTCGGCCTGCCGCCACGCCTGGGGGCGAGCCCGGGAGGGAGGAGGGAGGAAGGTGGATGGAGAATGGAGGTGGAGGGATCAGGAGGGAAGATGAGGGAGGAGAGTGGAGGAGGAGGAGGAGGAGGAGGAGGAGGAGGAGGAGGAGGAGGAGGAGGACGAGGAGGAGGAGGAGAAGGAGGAGGAGGATGAGGAGGAGGATGAGGAGGAGGAACAGGAGTAGGGGCCGGGTAGGGGTAGGAGTAGGAGTAGGAGTAGGAGGAGGAGTAGTAGGAGGAGGAGGATAATGGAAGAGGAGGAGGAGGATCATGGAGGAAGACGAGGACGAGGATGAGGAGGAGGAGGAAGAAGAGGAGGTGCCTGTCCAGTCCAGCCAGCAAGCTCAGGGCATGCGCCCAGCGCCTCGCCCTGCCATGGGCGGCGATTGCCTGGGAGCCATGGAACGCGACGCTGGGAGCCATGCGCGCTGGCAGGTCGCGAGCGACAAAAACTGTGGTCACAAGTCCACTGCTGCTGCTGACGCTGCCGCTACCACTGCCACTACCACTACCGCGACTGGAGCGCGCCTGCGCGGCCGCCGAGCCCAACCTCCGCCCACGGCGCCGGCCTCGTGTGGCGGGGGCCTTGGCGGTGTACAAACCTCCCTTTAGTAAACCTCCTCCTCCTCCTCCTCCTCCTCCTCCTCTTCCTCCTCCTCCCCCTCTTCCTCCTCCTCCCCCTCCTCCTCCCCCTCCTCCTCCTCCTCCTCCTCCTCCTCCTCCTCCTCCTCCTCCTGCTCCTCCCTCGTCCCAGCGGGGCGACCCGCCGAGGCAGGCAAAGGGCCACTCCCTGGGAGCGACCAAGGGCCACCCCGAAGGATCCCCACCGAGAAGCAGAGGAGAGCGTGTGCGCCACTCCGTGGCGGCGGCCCCAAGGCAGCGGCACCGCATCCTCGGCGGTGGACAAACCTCCCTTTAGCAAACCACCCGCTAGTGGAAACGGCCTAGGACCGAAGCCGACGGACCTGGACCCGCAAGAAATGACGGCTGCGACGCCCTCTCGCGAACCGAAAACGGCCAATGCGCTGATCGACGTGCCAGGGTAGGAGGTCTACCGTGGTTTTCGAGAAAAAAACCATCACGAATGCGCTTTGAAGCGGGTCCAACCCCCTGGCCCCAATTTCAAAGTTCGGGGCGGTCGACGCGGTGGAGTGCGAGTCGTTTCCAAAAAAAAACGCCCGCATTTGCAAACCGCGGCCTGCTCCCTCAGATGAGCATTGAAATTGGGGGCGCGGGGGGCGCTCGCCATCTTCTAGGCGTTGTACTTGGGCGTCTTCTGTCGAAAACGCCGGTATCGACCTCCGAGGGGTGCCGCCGATGGCGGATGGGGTGCCCCTGCCGGGGAGGCCGCGCAGGCCGTGCCGAGGGCGCCGCGCGGCGCCGCCGAAGCCGCGGCGGCGGGGGCGGCGAGCCCGGCGACGAGCACCGGGCGGCGTGCTTTCGCCGTCACCTCTCCGAAGGCGAGGGAGGGCGCGCGCGGCCGTGAGCAGCGAAAGGGCACTGGCCGGCGCTCGGGCGTCCATTCCCCGTGCATTTGTCGGTTCCGTGCCTTTTTTTTGGTTGCCAGACGACCCAGGGTGTTCCTCGATGGTCCGCGCCGAGATGAGATGCACACGCCCGAGCGATGCCAAGGGCAGGGCGAGGAGGAGATCGCGCCTGAGCTGCCTGGCGAGTCCTCGGCGGGGGCCGAGTTGGCACGTGACCCGACGCAGACCTCCAGCGTGGTGAACTTGACCAGCCCCCCGAGTTCGGACTCGCGGGGGGAGAGCGTTCGTGAACCGTTCAGCGGGATGGGAGTCGAGAGCAGGGAGCGGTAGGACATTTGCTTTTGAATCTGCACTTCCTTGGATGATCCTGCCTTGCCCTCGTTTCCGATTTTGGAGGGTGGCGTCCAGTGGATCGATGAGCGCCATGAGGTGGCGGTCATCAGCAATACAAGTGGCGAAGATATGAATACCCGCGACCGTTTTGGCAGCATGGTCAACGACGAGGTGCAGTTCATCAGCAGTACCACCCACGATAAGGTGAATAGCAGAGACAAGCTTGGCCAAAAAAGCAGACAAACAACTGCGCTGGAATCGATCGACTGAAACCGGAGACGCTCATGAAGCCCCGTGAGCCGGGACTTATCAGGGAAGCTCAGACCTCCACGTTGGACCCCAATGACTTTTTCGGAGCCAAGGCCGCGAGAAAGTACCCCCTCAAGCAGGGCCTCGCGTGCCCGTCCATTTCCAGCTCGTCTAGATGCTCCTGCGCGAGCGGTCTGGCGCTGCTGCAGCGCACTGCACACATCCTCACCTCTTCTCCTCCCTGCTGCTGCTGCTCCTCCTCCTCCTCCTTCTTCTTCTTCGCCTCCTCCCCCCCCCTTCCTGGACAGGCTCCTCCTCCCAAAGTGCTCCTTCAGGGCCCTTTCCTTCACCCTCCATTTAGGTCACCCCCCACTGCCACCCGCCCCAGCAGAGCCTCCTCAACATGCCTCTCGCTCTCATTCCCGGTCTCCAGCGGGAGACGGAGCGGGGAGGAGCCACGCCCGGGCGCTCTTTGTAAGAGGGGCGCGCTCAGCCAAACATCCCAACATTCGGATCCAGCGCGGCGCTCGTCCGGCGGACTCCGGGCGCCGGAGACCAGCCCAAGCGCAGCACTATGGCGGTGAGGTTGTCGCGGCTCTCCTTGTCGATGGCCCGCTGGACGACAGCCTTGGCTGCCTGCACTGGGTCTGCATGGTGCTGCTGTACAACTTCCGCCACCTCTTGGTCGCTCAGCACGTCGAATACCCCGTCGCATGCAAGGACTACCGCCCAGTCCTCAGGGGTGAGGTCCACGGCGCGAACCTCTGGCTGTGCGATCACCAGCGAGTCAGGCACCTTCAGCTCCACGTCCCCGAACGAGCGGGAAGTGGACAGGAGCCAAGACTCCCGCTGCTCCGTCGCCTTCCGCTGCCGCAGCTGCTGCAGCTCCTTCAGCATCGACGCCTCCTCCCTGCCGACGCGCCACGTGCCCCAGGGGTCCTGCATCACGTGCCCGCCCGCCGCCTGTATGCGCGCCCGCTCCGCCTCGGTGCTGGGCTTGTGGTCCTCCGACAGCCGCACGCCCCGCCTGCCCCGGCACAGCACCGCGCGGCTGTCGCCACACCACGCCACGAACAGCTTGGCGACACCGCCGGGGGCGGCGGCCACGGTGCCTGGCCGCAGGGCCGGGGGAGCCGGGGGCGCCTCGAAGCCGTGGCTCAGCAGCGCCACGAGGCCGGTGGAGCCCCCGACGAGGTCCCTCTTTTTGGCGTGCTGCAGCCACGCCCTGTCGGTGGCGTCGAAGGCGTCCTCGATGGCACCGCAGATCAGCGAGGCCTCCTGTGCGGCCGACAGGCTCGCGATGCTCCTGGCCTTCTTGGCTCGAGCACGGTATGCTGCGAGCACCGCGCTGGGCATCTGCTGCGACACAAAGTCGGAGCACAAGAAGCCGCGGTGTCCGTCGAAGACACCCGCGAGGAAGCCCAGCTCCCACAGGTCCGCGGCGCAGACGCGGTCGTCGTTGATGTCCTTGGCGGCGGCGATGCACTCGACGCCCACGCTGAGCCCGGCCTGCCCTGCCAGCGGCAGCGTGTTGAAGCACACCGTCTTGCCCGCGCCGCCAGCTCCCGCCTCCAGCGCCACCGGCGTGTAGCTCACGCGCGTGCCGTGGAACAGGCCGCCTGGCTGCGGGGGCACCTGCGTGCCGTTCGGGGCACCCTGCGCGGGGATGATTGGGCGCGAATTCATGCGGGGGCGATAGTTCGGGGGGGCAGCGAGGCGATGCATGGGAGGGCCTGTGGGGCCCGAAAAGGAGCACCTGTCTCTCTCCCCTTTTATCTAGAAGAAAAAATCAAAACATAAACTTTTGGCGCTCCGCGCGGATTTCTTGGATCCGCGCCGGACCCCCCTCCCCTGCATGTGGCGCGAGCCAGTGGCGGCGCCGGAGGCGCCGCCAGGCGGGGCCCAGCGCGGAGCCACGAAATCCGCACGGAGCCCGAACAGTTCATGTGTCTGGCGCTTCCTCCTCTTCGATAACCGCCCCCCCCCCCCCCCATTGATTCGCGCCCAGGAGGACAGCGAGGGCTGCCGAAAAGGGCCCAGGGAGGGCTTCCAGGACCCGAGAGGGGGCACCTTGCTCTCCCCCCCTCCCATATCGCCCCCCCGCGAATTCGCGCCCAGGATGAACAAGTCCGCGGCGCCGTCGTCCGGGATGACGCAGCCGAGCGCCCGCCGGCCGTTGTACCACCGGACGGTGCCGTTGCACAGGGCGGGCAGGGGGCTCCGCCCGGCCGCCGCCGAGGCGCACGCGCGCGCGGCGGCCTCCTGCAGGCCCGGGGCCTCGGGCCCCTCCTCGGGCCCAGAAGGCCAGGGAAAGGGGCGCGAGCACAGACGGAGGAGGAGGAGGAGGAGGAGGAGGAGGAGGAAGAGGAGGAGGAGGAGGAGGAGGAGAAGGAGGAGGAGGAGGAGGAGGAGGAAGAGGAGGAGGAGCGAGGATGATGTAGTTGTTGGTGATGATGAGGAGGAAAAGGAGGAAAAAGGAGAAGGAGGAGGAGGACGAGGAAGAGGAGTAGCGATGATAAGGTTGTTGATGATGATGATGATGATGATGATGATGATGAGGAGCAGGAGGAGGAGGAGGAGGAGGAGGAGGAGGAGGAGGAGGAGCGAATGCATGTGGTGGCGCGCCGAGTCAGGAAAACAAGATGGGCATGGACGGATGGACAAGGAGAGCAAAGCACAATCTCTCACAGAAATGGCGATAACATCATACAGGCCAGCCTGTAATTATATCCTTCTGCACGGGCCGACGGGACCCGAGCAACACATAATCCTGACCAGAGGGGCTGACCAGGGCAGCACAAGACGGGGACGATCAAATCACTGGCCCCGTCACAAGAAACTGAACGAGTTGAGCACACACAAAGTTGTGAGACAGAGCCACTCGACAGCAGGATTCGACACAAGCATTCGTCGGGGAAGCGGGATAGGGGTGCTTGCGGCCTTCACTGGGGTGGCGACCAGATGCGAAGTTGTCTCTGCGCCACTTCCTTTGAGGGTTCCCCTCGAATGCCTAGGGGCCCTTGCGCTCGGTTTAAAGTTGGGACCTGTAGGCCTGTTCCGACAAAGGCACCACAGCGCATGCATCCCACCACGTCGCCAGCACGGTAGAGCACATGGCTTCTCGAGGCCCGAGGGAGAATGCCCCCCTCCGCGGGGAGCACCATACAGGGAAGGGCAGCTGGCCCGCGAGGAGGCCGCGGCCAGACGGGGGCGCTTCTCCGAGCCAACAACGTGCATCAAAGCGGCAGTGGCGTCCCTCACTCGGGTCTGGACATGCGGCTCGACGTGACTCGCGGCCTGGCGCGCCGAGAGGCCCGTGTGAGCGTTTCAGCACCCTCATCCTCGGGCCTCCTAGGCCTACCCGCGATCCGAGACCTCGGAGTCGGGCGAGGAGAAGGAGGGGGATCATGAGGCGAGGGAGGGGAGGGGGGGAGGCCCGCGAAGCACCTTCCTCCCGGAGTCTTCACCCGTCTGCTCTCCAAGCACGTTTTGGGCATCCAGGGCACTTTTAAGACTCGGGCGAGGCACCTGTGGAGAGCCCCGCGGGACCTCCAAGGGGCTGGACGTGGGCTCAGGGGCCTGAGGCTCCGAGGGGCGATGCGCGGGACAAGCCTCGACGCGCGTGCGACGGCGTCCAGCCGTGGTCCGCGCGAAGCGTTGACAGTGTAGACGTTGCCAACCTCCTGTTGGGCCATGCCTGGGTTCGTGCAGGCGCTGGCCACCCTGTCAGCGCTGGCTGCTGTCGGGCAGGTCGTGGTTGACGCTGTCGGCGCCGTCGAGGTTGGCGTACTGGTGGCGGCTGTCGGTCTGCATTGCCAGCCAGTGTAATAGACGAGCCAATCCAGCGCGCAATCTGTCGCACAACGTTCATCATGTTGGCGTGCAGGTGGGTGACCTCCGACGGCGGCGCGTGCGTGGCCAGTCGCATCTTAGCCGCGACATCCGCGTAATCATTGCCTTTCTTGTCTGGGGTTGCCTCGCCCTGTGTCTGATGCGAACGGGCAAGGGATGCGTCCAACCGCGGGGATAGGCCTCCGTGGCCATCAACTGCGCGCAATAGCTGCCTCCATAAATCGCTGTTCGGCCTCCTGGGATGTGCGCGCCAGGCCGCTCCCTTCATGGGGCCGTCCACAATGCCCAAACAGTCAGTGCGAATATGCATGGGCACGATTCTTTGCCGCAGTACCTGAACAACTGCATGCAATTCAGCACGTGGGATCGATTGTTGATGTCCCGGCAATGGGCCATGTGTGATCCCGCTCAATTCCTGACCCGTCATCATCGCGATTCCCCATCCTGCTCGGTTGGTCAAGACACCCAATAGGAGAGAGTCCAGAACCATCCGTGTAGACATCTTCCGTCAGCAACGCAGATTCACCGCCATGGGCAAATTTTCACAGCTCTGTCAGACATGGGGTTGGAACGTTGGCCGAGTATGTTCCGGCATTAGGGCCCGCGTGGAGAGCGTGTCGGTGTGGTGCGAAGAACGCGCAGCCTGACTGATGTCTGCATCCGCCGCAGCCTCACGCTCTTGCTGAGGGAGAGGGCAGGACCAGAGGCAGTCAGGAGGCGTGTCTGGACAGTCAAGGCAGTGCTGGCAACGGTCACCGTCAGCATGCCCATATTGCTTCAGCTTCGCCTGAGACCATTGACCGCCGATGATCGTATTTCGCAGGGCAGCCCTGGCCTGCACAGGAAGGTTCAATTTCGTGGCCAGCTCTCTGGGCGCTACAAATGGCTTCAGTGGTGCCACCCAGTGGCCGCGCGGACGACGCGCGGCAGCCTCCTCTTGGCGCGTGTTTCTGACGGCTCCATTCCTCGACCCTCGCGTTCGCAAAATCTTGTCGCGCCAGCGTCCTGGTCCACTCAGACCGCCCATGGTGAGAGCCCAGGGCGCTCCAACACACGTGACCCATGCAGTCGCCGTCGTAACACGCCAGTGGAGCAAACCAGGGGTCAGCAAGACTGCTCCCGTAGGGCTTGCAATGTCTGCGTGCTTGGGGTTCAGTCCTAGCATCTGGCGCTGCTGCAGGAAGGCCTTCTTGTCAAGAACGTCGTTGGGCATCTTTGGGTCCTTCCACCAGCAGCGCCCATGTGCGCGAGAGTCCTGCCATTGCCATCATCTCAGGGTGCTCGTAGAAGCGGGGTTCAAGCTGCGCCGTTAGCCAGGTAAAAGTGCCATCCGACTCTGACCATGTTGATCGTTGACTTGAGCAGCGTGTTGGTGGCGCCGACGATCTGGATGCCGTGCTGCATGGCAGGGGCGAGGCAAAGTTGAGCCACCGCCCTCCCGATCTTCGCAAATCCGCATAGCCTTTTGAGCGTGGGGAGTCGCTTGCGCATTTTAAGCACCCGCTTGCGAATGGTGGAACAGCGCAGCTTGTGGCCACCTCTGGCTTCCCTGCCTCATACTTCCAAGGGCGTGTAAGGTCGGAGTCCATGTCGATGCACCTGCCGTGTGACCAGCGGCGCGATGGCGAAATCCGGGGCGAGAGCCCTTGCTTTTTCTTGAGCGGTCGGCAGATCCAATGCCTTACGGACCGCCGCCTATCTCTGTAGTCTGCGCACTGTCTTGCGCACCATGTTCAGCATGGTGGCGACAACTTGAAACGCGAAGTCGTCAGCGTAAATGCCCAAGGAGTGGTTCAACCCATCATTATTCGCAAAGGGCTTCTCAAAGATATCGACGGGGAGCATCGTGACCAGCTGCAGCAAGAACATGGCCACCGTGCATCCAGGAAACACCGCGCGGCTGACCTGGCAGGAGTCTGAGAGCGATGTGGTCCACTTGGTGCGTCTGGGCGCAGTGCGCCGCCAAGCAAAATTGTGGGATCTGCGTGGGGGAGTCAAAGTGCGCTGCTGCCTGTAGTGCCCGTCGCCAACAGACCCTGTCAAAGCAGTTGCTAATGTGAACTGCCGTAGCGGTCGCCGCCTTCTGCTGGCCACGCACAGAGGCTTCAACGTCAATCAGTGTTCGGGCCCCCGCGTCCAGAATGCACCTATGAACCCCCGACGCAAAATATGGCCGTGTACTTCTGGAGATCCATTCGCGAACTTGAGAAAGTCGCACCTTTGTATGCAGTCTGTATGTGGCAGGCAACAGAGCAATTGGACGAAATCCTGCCTGTGGTTGGGCCAGTGACACGATGTGAACGTAGAGGATGTCCGTCGGCCATCGCATCCAAGTTTCCGCGGCCCAGTAGATGTAGACCAGCATTGCCAGGGCGCCATCCGAAGGGGGGGGGGCGCGTGGAGGTAGAGCGTTTGCCCCGAGCCCAGCTCGCCACTTGAACTTTGCAGCGGCCCTTCGTACTTGTGGAACCGTAGGTGCTGGCAGCGCCGCTGGTGGGAGTTGACGCAGCGCATCCGCAGGCCCATATTCTACATCATCGGAAGGAGGCCTTGGTGCAATGTTGTCTGCCACGCGCTCTCCATCCCATCTGCTGTGCCCGTTGTCCATCTGGTCGTCTGCGATCGCCTGCGGATGCGCCGCGACGGTGCGTCCAGCTTTGATCTGAGCAAGTGCCCATGGCTGGGCTCTGGTGATGGAGTGGACCTGCGCTGGTCCGGTGGCCATGGCGTCCCTGGACCAGGCCTTGAACATCTCGACGCGATGCTGGCCTGCTTGTCTGTCCCAAATGTCGGCGCATGCCAGCGGAGAGTTCGCAGAGGCCTGCCGCCGCAAAATAATTGAACAGGATGCTGCTTGAATGCAAGGTGTATGATCTCCCATGTGCCCTCGAAGTCCTCTTGCCCGTGTCGGTGCGCGCATCCTGCCTGTGTCCTGGCTGTAGTATCTTAGAGATATGAGACCATCTCGCTCTTCGCCGAGAGGACACCGTGCCCGTGGCACTTGCTTGACGGACCCCCCCAGCGCAGCGTGGTTCCTGGGCTGCTCGTGAGAAGCTCTGGACCTATAGGGCGCGTGCAAGGCAGGGCCAAAGGATTTCGCCGGCCCGGGGTCCTTGGGGGCCCCGGGGATTTTAAAGGGCGGGGGGGGGGGCGTGGCGATCTCGTGAGTCGGCAGGGCCGGGTTCTCATGAGATGCGGCGGCCTCCTCGCCCGCCCGATCTTGGTCATCGTAGTGCTGCTGCAGACCAGGGGGGGTCTGTCACCAATGAGCCTCCTCACTTCGTCCTGGATCTCCCTCGGCTGTCTCCGGTGCTGGCAGACGATTACCCGCCAGAGCGTGACTTCGCGAATCGTCCGCAGGTCCAGGTAGGAGACGATGTTGCGCCGAGGATCCAGGCCTCGGCCCCGCGCGTCGTTGCGGATGTCGGCTGCGAGATCCTCCGCTGTAGCGCCTGCGAGCGCTGCGGTGGCCCACGCCGTGCGTTGAGACGACCTGAGGCCATCCATGAGGTGGGGGGTGCACCGTGAATTCCACGCGTGGGCCTCTGACTCTGGGTCGGAAAGGTCGGGCGCCCATCGGGCACCTCCGGCAGCCGCCCCGTCTCGAAACTGCTCCCCAGGGCCGTCGTCGTCGACTTTGTCGAGAGGCGATGGCCGTCGCGTGGCACCAGGGGCAAAGAACGCTGGCCATCGATCCAGGATAGTCGGGCGACCCCCAGCAGCGACGTGCACGTCGTTCGCGGGGGTAGCGACCAAACCATCATCGACGCGGGCCTGGTCCCGCTCCTTCCCGCGGCGGCTTCTGCTGCTGCGGGCGAAGAAGGGGGCCCCCCGCCCGAGTATCCTCGGTGGCGCGCCCGCGGGGGGGCCGTGACCTTTGCGGGGGCAGTGAGTGCGCCAGTCGGCGCAATCGTGGTCGGAGTCGACCCAATAAGCGAAAAACTCGAGCTAAGTTTAGCCTGATCATCGACGCGCTCAAGGTGCGCCTGCTCCGTGTCCGCGCGAGCGATCCGCCGGCGATAGATGCCGTGGGCCGCTTCGCAGACGAAGTGGGAACTATCCGAGCGCTGCGCGTCCTCAACGAGCTGCTGCGCCGACGACGCTCCGTGCTCGTCAAGAAAGTCGGCCACCAAGTGAAGAAATTATTGTCCCATCGCGCAGAGATGCCTCGACTCGCTCCCTCCGACAGGATGCGGTCCCGTCTTGGGGGCTCCGATCGGTCTCCATGTGCGAATGACCCCGCCCGCTTGTCCTCGGTGTGCATCGGGTTCCGTGACCTGATGTCGGTCAGCTCGGCCTCCAAGTGCGCGATGGAGTGGCCGTGGAGAGCATCCGCGCGTCCTGCAGCTTTCGACGGGGTCGTCGGAGGCCCCTTCTGCGTGCCCCTGTCCACGATGTCCAAGTATGATGGCGTGTCAATGGGTCCTAGGAGAGGCTTTCACCCCCCCGTGGCAAGGGGCCCTGTGGGGGAACTCATCGGGGCCGCGATGCTGAGCCTCTGCGTGGTCGGCTTGGCCTTCATGTGGGTGATGCCAGGCTTGCGAGGTCTCGCTGGCCAAATGGCAGCGGTAGCTGGCGTGCTGGAAAGCGTATCAAGGATAGGGGAGGTAGTGTAGAAGACGATGTTGTTGTATGTGCCCTTCGTCGTGCGGCGTGCGCCCTCCTCTTTGGTGTCGGGCAGAGCTCTGGGTATCAACTCGGGCAAGCCCAAGACATGATATTCTAGCGGGGATATGCTCCAATGAGAAGCTATGATGATAGGCTTGTTCGTGTACCGGAGAAACATAGCCTAGGGGAGGTAGTGCGCGTAGTTGGCGGAGAACTAAGGCGCGCTGTGCGCGCATTCCACGTTGGCAGCTCTCACCAGCAGTCCTCCAGTAAGTCCCACCTCAACGTGTGTGGCCTCTGCCCAAGCTGGCGTGGCGTTATGTGATACTTTGCCATCAAGTCCTTCAACGACTGTGGCAGGGATGTGAGCGCGCGCGAAAATTCCCGTGCCAGCACCTGGCGTTCCCGTCGGCAACCTGCGACATGTTGTGATGAAAGCATGCCGGCCATTTCGACGAGCCCACGCCTGCGCCTGCGAGAGGCGCCCAGCATCAAATCTCAATTCCTGAACGCAAGCAATATTGAACCCCGTCGTACCTCCCGCCGAAAAGGTTCTGCAATGCTCCCAACATGACCCGTTGATGGTGACGACTGCAATATCTTTACGCGTGGATCCTCTCGGTACTCTAGTCCTGTTCGGTGCCAGCGATCTCCCGGGCAACCCGGTCGACGTGCATGGCTTCACGTGGCATGGCTGGAGGTGAGGAACCAAAAGCGTCCGACTGCCCTGAGCTGGGTGCAGACGCTCTGGGTTCAGCTGGTGCTGTGGGAGCAATGACTGAGGTAGCCATCGCCCCGATGTTGGCGACCTGCTGCTCGATGGTGGTGAGGAGCTGTGCGCCGTCAGTGGACGAAGCACCCGCGCGCGCAGCTTGCAGCACTGCTTGAAGCTGTTGGACTGCCACCGAAACGTTCGACAACTTTGGCGCCGCTGATGCAAAGCAACTACCGCGACGGCTGACTGGGCCTGGGCCACCTCTGCGCTGAGTGCTGCGACGTCATTCTCGAGCCTGGTGAGCTGCTGCTTGGCCTCGCCGAGCTCCGTCTCAAGCTTGTCCACTTGGGCGGCCTTCTCAAAACGTTCGGGCTCCTTGGCTGCCCATCGGTCCTTCGCGCTCCGCAGCAAATCCGATGGGGTCCATCTGAGCACGGCGGGCGGACTCCGCCTTGTCCAGTTCGGCCTTGACGGCGATGACGAGGTCGTGCTCGTCCCCGTAGATCCAGCACGTGGTCCTCGTAGCACTGCCTTGAGGCCTTGCACGGCCACGCTTCACTATCTGAAGGCATGAACGTTGGGTCTCCTGCTGGTACGCTGCCGTGGTCCGACTGCAGCAGCCGTCTGGCGGCGGCCTCTCGCAGCGTCTGCCGCGCGCTGGCGCGGCGCCTGCGCAGGCGACGATGCCAGGCAGGTCACGGGTCGCGCCTCGCAAGGCCGCCCGCCGCGTCGAGATCACCCGCGCCCGCCGCCGCCCGCTGGGGCCAGGTGGATGCGCCCGCCGCGCGCCCCCGCGCGCGTGGGAGCCCAAATGGCAGCTTTGATGATGATGATGCTGATGATGATGAGGAGGAGGAGGAGGACGAGGAGGAGGAGGAGGAGGAGGAGGAAGAGGAGGAGGAGGAAGAGGAGGAGGAGGAGGGGGAACCCGCGCGGACGTCTCGGGTCGGCGTCGGGACTGGCTCCCCCGCGCCCACACCCCCTGGGGCCGCCGCCCCTGAGATCCTGGCGTCGCAATTTTTGCGCGCCATGCGTTTTCGCCCAGCGTCGGGCCCCGGGACCCTCACGGATCGACCGGGCTCGGAGAACTGATGCAGACAGGCGGGGTCCGGAGCCCTGGCGTGACTTTTCGCGTGGTGGCAGCTTTTTCGCCATGTCGGATCTCAGGGGCTGGCGCCGCCCCCAGGGCCCGAGAAGTTCGCGCGGGCCCCAGACCCCCGACGTAGTGATGCTTTGGCAGCGCCGATCCCAAGAGGTCTGGACCCATTCCCCAGGACCGCTTTTCCATCCCGAGTGATTTTTTGACGGTCCCGAGGCCTGGCAAGTGCCCCCCAAAGGCCGAAAAAGAACGGCAAAAACTTCCGCCGTGATTTTTTCACAGCGCGACGGGGTCTGTGGTTAGGTCGGGCACGTCCCCCTATAGGCAGATTTTGTAGGAAAAATTTAAAATTCGCAAGAAATGGCCCCCAAATGCTCAAAAATAGTCAAAACATCGTCCCAGACTATTTTCTGACTTTTTTTGAGTATTCCCGTAGAGGGACACGCCCGACCGAAGTCTGGGGCCTCCCCGAGACCTCCTGCGCACGCCTCTTTCGGGGCCTTCTGCGGGCGGCTTCCCCGCGCGTGCGCGCTTGGCGGCCGGGGGCGGCTCGCCGCCGGCGGCCGCCTCCCTCCTCATGCCGCGCCGCGGCCGCAGCAGGGGCGGGGCATGGCTCGCGCCGCTCGGGCCAAGAACGGCTGCGGTTAGGTCGGGCATGTCCCCCCTGCAGGCGGATTTCGAACGAGAAAGTCAACAGAATCAACAGAACATAAAAAATAGCCAAACATACTAACAAAAATCGTCCCAGACTATGTTTTGGACTATTTTTGAAGATTCCCCCTGTAGAGGGACACGCCCGACTTAAGGCTACGGACCCAGACCCCCTCGCGTCGTGAAAACATCGCGACGGGCGGCTTTTCGCTATTGTCGGCCTCTGGGAGCCCCTGCTGGGCCTCGGGACCGTCCAGAAACGACTCGGGAAGCAAAGCCGGTCCTGGGGAAGGGGGTCCGGACTTACGTCGGGTATGTCCCCCTACAGGCGGATTTTGGAGGAAAGATGAAAACAAATCACCCCAAAATATGCAAACAGAGCAACAAAAATGCTTAAACATCGTCCCCAGGTTTTTTTAAATCCCCAATCAGAGCTTGCCTCTGTAGGGGTCCTAGCTGATTCATACGGTTAGGTTAAATTTGTCGGCGATTTTCGCTGCACGCCCGGGTGCCCGGGTGCCTGGGGGTGCCCGGGTGCCCGGGTGTCCGGGCGTGCCCAGGGGTGCCCGGGTGCCCGGGTGCCCGGGTGCCCGGTAGCCCTATAGCCCTATAGCCTTATAGCCCTGTAGCCCTATAGCCCTGTAGCCCTGTAGCCCGATAGCCCTATATCATATCTCTATAGCCTTATAGCCATATAACCTGATAGCCCGATATGCCTATAGCCCTATAGCCCTATAACCCTATAGTCCTATAGCCCCGTAGCCCTATCTATAGCCCTATAGCCCCAGAACCTTATAGCCCTATTGCCTCATAGGCCTAGAACCCCATAGCCCTAAAACGATGATGATGATTGGGTTTTTCTCCGGTATCATATAAACAACTGTTTTTGAATATTCCTCCTGTAGAGGGACATGCCCGATTTAAATCCAGACCTCTGGGGGTCGACGTCGTGCGAAAATCACGACGCCAGGGGTCTGGGGAGGGGCGATGCTGAGGGAGGAACGAGATACCTGCGTCGTCGATGTGGGTCGCATCCATGTGGCAATTACAGAGGATGTGCGATACCTGATGTTTCTTACCCCCTCTCCCCACGGGAACTGTGAGAGCAGCATGCCCACACGCGCACATGTTACCAAACATCTCTGCGGGGACCTCGGTCGGTATGGACCCCCAGCCCCGAGGAGTGAACCGATCCGCAGATTGCGCAAACGGCCGCAAGATGGGACGAAACATGTTTTCCACAGACCGCAAACGACCCAATGTGCACTAAGGTGAACAGAGGGCAGAGACGGGGAGACGCTCGTCAAGGCAAAAGGCCGGGCCAACTTTCGAGTTGGGGTGTTGACCTCTCGCTCATAGCCAACTTTATCTCAAACGGGTACACCGTACCTTAGTTTGTGTTTGCCGCAAGTACGCCGCGGCCCCAGGACGCTGCAGCGGTGCGAGGGGCCGCTTCCATCCGAGGGGGACTGAATACCCCGTGGGCTGACAGCGGGAAGGTGGTGGGCGTGTGGGGAGCCTTTCGGGCCATAGGGGAGGACTCGAATACATCCCCCCTGTTTTGGGTTTCGCCTTCGCTGCTGTGGTGCTGCCTTCGGGTCGCCCTCAGCTGGAGGGAACCAAAAGCAGCCTGGGAAGACACGGGAAGGGGAGAACCAGCGCACGGGGAGTCTGGAGGAGGGGCCCAGGGCCAGAAAAAACAGCCCAAACATCCACCCTGGTCGTGGTGGTAAAACTGGTGCTCAAGGAGGAGGAGGAGGGAGGAGCAGGAGGAGGAGGAGGAGGAGGAGGAGGAGGAGGAGGAGGAGGAGGAGGGGGAGGAGGGAGGGAGAGCGAGGAGGAGGAGGAGGAGGGGGAGCAGGAGGAGGAGGAGGAGGAGGAGAAGGAGGAGGAGGAGGAGGAGGAGGATGGATAGATGAGGCAGGTTGCGAAAACGAAGCAGGCGCCGCGCCGAAACAGCACCGCCCCTACTTTGCCCAAAAGGCTTCCACGACAGCCCAAGAGGGTCCAGAGAGCCCAACAACGACCCAGAGAGGACCCCCCAAGCGGCCTCCGATGGCACCAGATTGCCCAAGAGCGCTTGCATCGAGACGGTCCAAGAGAGATCCAAGGTGGCCCGAGCGGGCCGCAGGAGCTGCCCCAAGATGGCCCAGATGGCTCGAACGTGCTCCCAAGAAGGCCCCAGAGGGCTCCTCCCTGATGCTCCCCAGTCGTTTGCCCAGCGGCTGGGGGATCAGGTAGTTCACTGGCGCGGCCGCACTGTCGATGGACATTTCGGGTCACTGCCTTTTTTGGAAAGGCAGGAGGCGGCTGGCTGTGGGTGCCCTCGATACCATCAATGTACAATCATCACAACACTTGAAGCATTTCGACCTCAATACGCGTCGTGCACCTAACCTGGGATTTCTGGCACCTTGCTTTTCAATATGGGATGATTTATTTTGCTATGTAGAGAAGGCCCGATGCAAGCATGAAGCAATCGAAGATGGGTGGGTCACTCGCTAGCGTATCGGAATGTCTCATCGTAAAGTGTCGCCTTAATTTCTGTGGGGAGCGTGAGATGCATGGTCAATTGTCTTCATCTTGGCAGTCGATTGCAAGGGTTGCTTCGAAGCTGTGAGCGAGAGCACTGTACACGCTCCCATCACGCCGAATCCCTTGCTGCCTGGATGACGCGTCGAACCTCCGAGACAAGTGTGACTAGCAATGCATCTCAAGTAACCGCTTCTTGTAGGACCGCGTTGCGGAGCAAAGTATGCAAGCCGAACTTGTGCAGCTCCCTGGCGAAACGACCGTGGTCGAAATCGGGGCAGTCGGTTTGCGTGAACTGTTGCATGAACTTGAAGTAGTCGCAACACACCTGCCTGGTCACGCCGTTCCGGCCGGCTGCTTCAGAACCTCTTCTTTGTCCTTCCCCACCGCCCACGCCAACACTGGCCGGATGTATTCGCCATCCATCTCACAGCCTGCGAACCCTCCGTAGATGGTCATAGGAATTTCGGCACCCAGGTGCTCCCAGATGAAAGGCGTTGTGCTCACGGAATTAGGCACATCTTCGCGGTCGAGCGTTCCGCTCAAGCAAGGGCCGTGGCCTCGGCTGAATCGGCCAGGCTGCTGTTCAACAAGCTGGTCTTGAACATCCGTGCGGAGCTGCTCGAGGCTTGGACACTCTCGGCGATGACCCCGAACATACGGAAAAAAGGTGGTGACCCAGCCGTTCACATATGTCGAAGCCCCAGAGCCGAAGGTGGACCACTGTTTGTAGATCGTGTACCAGAAGATCTTGTCCACCTCCTCTCTAGTATAAGTCTTCTGGACTTTTCGTAAGATGGGCATGAGCTTGTCGACCCACCAGCCGAGCTCGTACCCTCGCAGGCCCTCAACTTTCTCCAAGAGCAGGTCCCAGTCCTCCCGCGTTCCCAGAAGCTTGACCTTCGAGATCCCGCACAACGTCGTGCAACGAAACTCAAAGTAGCTTTTCATGCAATCCATCAGTGCAAGTTCGTGGAGTGCCTTCTCCAATTGGCCGGTCGTGGAGAACGTCGGCACAAGCGCGCTTGTGTTCTGCGGGCCGATGTTGTCCGCGACTATCTGGCTCCACTCCGAAAAGCAACCAGCCCAGTCGTTAAGAGGGTCTCCAAGAACGAAGTGGTCGCGGCGGATGCGCAGCACCTTCTTCCCTTCAAAACTGACGAACTTGCTGCGAAGCGCTTCTGGGTTGAGCTCAACGTGCTTGCTGACACCCTGCACGATGAGGGTCCAGAGGTCGTCAGGCCCGAAGCAGAGGGGGATATGCTTGTTGAAGGCGTGGTACACCGCCTCCACGAAGCCACCGCGGCGGGACGCGATGATCTCGCGCTCTGCCGACGTGGCCTCAATGCACTCCGCTCCCAGGGCGGCGAAGCCCTGCTTGACGGAGCTGCGGTCAGGCGGCAGCGGCGTCGGAGCGGCGAGACACGAGTCGATCACCACCTCCACAAATGCCTCGGCCATACGTGGGCCGAGTCGGACAGCTGTTGCCGGAGCGCTGGCGCAGAACAGGTTGAGCCACAGTGCTGCGCGCCACGCCGATGCAGAACGACGATGCGCTCCCACTCGCTCGAGCAGCCAGGAGGAGGAGGAGGAGGAGGAGGAGGAGAAGGAGGAGGAGGAGGAGGAGGAGAGGAGGAGGAGGAGGAGGAGGAGGAGGAGTTGTTATGGCTGCCTGGCCACGATCACCTCCCAGACGCTCGAAGCTGGAGGAGTTGTTATGGCTGCCTGGCCACGATCACCTCCCAGACGCTCGGAAGCTGTGCGGGGGGCGCGGGGGAAACGCGGACGAGAGTGAACCGAACTCGTGCTCCTCCTCCCTCCTCCTCCTCCTCCTCCTCTTCCTCCTCCTCCTCCTCCTCCTCCTCCTCCTGGCGCCCCTCGCAACTGACCCATGGCCTCCAGATGCTGCCAGGTGCTCCCCGGAAGCTGGATGAAGGTAGAGGACGCCAGCAAACTTCGATCCTCGAACTTCCTGCTCCCTCCTCGCCACCCCTCAGATAAGACGAAGCCAAGAAGAGGATATAATCGGGTGAATCTAAATCGAGAATCTCTGAGACCCGCTGGCTCCGGAGGATGTCTTGGGCGCCGCCGGCCTTCTCAGAGCGTTCTGGAACTCTCTGAGAGCGCTCTGGAACGCTCTTGAGTGAATCTATCCTCGTCCTAGCCCCGCCCGACCTGCTCCCTCCTCACCACCCCTCAGACCACTACGCACTGCCCCTGGCCCGCAATTGGTAAACACCCCAGACCGACCACAACGATGTTTAAAACGCGTTCGCGTTTAGAACGAAAAACAAAACGAACCCAACCGTTGTACAACGAACGATAAAAATGGGCTCCCTAAAGTAGGTAAAAAACTGGTTTCCTGACCCCCTCCCGGGTTCCATCCTGTCCAGTGGTCCGAGCCGCGTCCCGAAGTGCCTCGATCCCCAGATCCTCGCGCGCGCTGGCCCTCCCGCCCTCCTTAGCGGGGAGAGGCCCCTCGACAGCAGGGAGTGTCTTCAACCCCCTTCGATTTCTCAATCTTGCGTATTGGATTCTCTTTCAGGGGCCCAAGCCCCAACAGATGGGATTTCTTGCTGGGGCGTGGCGCATGTCTTCCAGGGTGCTCCGAGTGATTTTTCCCGACGCCAGAAATCACGGTAAAAGTCTGCCAACGCTGACTGAAAACAACGAGTCCTTACACCCTGGGTGTGCAAACTATGTCGTGCAAGCCAGATTGTGCAAGCTATGTGGTGTACACGATGTGGTGCAAGCTATGTTGTGTAGACCATGGGATGCGATCGTAATGATAATACATATATATGGCCGATTCCAGAAACCCTGAACCTAGACATGCTTTCATCTCTTGGGGGCGCATGTTTTACTTCCGCCACCTTCCGCCGCCCTTCCGCCAGCTTCCGCCGGCGGAGGTGGCCTCGTTTTCCTTCCGCCGACCTTCCGCGGCTGAAGAGATGACAGTTCCTTCGATCCTCGAAGGCAAGACCCTTTTTGGGAACGCCCCCCCCCCCCCCCCCTATATATATAAGTGTATACATAAATATATGTATACTTATATATGTGTATGTGTATGTATGCGGTGTGAACTGCGTGTTGCATGTTACGTGATGCTATGCTACGTGGTGCAAGCTGTCTGGTGCAAGCTACGCGGTGCAAGCCATGCGGTGCTAGCTATCTGGTGTAATAGAAAAAGAAAAACACATAAACATAAACTTTTGGCGCTGCGCGCGGATTTCTTAGATCTGCGCTGGACCCCTCTCCCTGGCGCGCAGAGCGTGCCAGGGCTGACCCCAGAGGCGCCGCCAGTGGGGCCCAGCGCAGATCCAAGAAATCCGTGCGGAGTGCCGAACATTTGTGTTTATAATGTTTTTTCTTCCTCGAAATTTTGCGTTTCGATTTTGGGCGGAAGGGGGGGGTCTGGCTCTGAACCTCTGCTCGATGGGATTGTTTTTGCAGCAGCGCGTCCTGTGGGGGAGACTCCACCTGCTCGAGACAGGCACCCCCAAAACAGCCAAGATCTACTCCATGAGGGGAGGAAGGGGACGGTGGGGTGCGAGGGCCCGCGCCGATCGGCAAAACAAGGAATAAGAAAACGACCGCCAGTGCAAGCACTGTTTGACCATTGCGTGTTTTCAACGTGCTCGACCCGAAGTGGGAAACCGGAGCTGGCCCCACGAGCCCTCGTGTGCCAGGATGGCCCCAGAGGCCGCCAAGAGGCCGAAGGAGATCCCAAGAGGCCTGCGAGAAGCCCACTAGAGGCCCATAAGAGCCTCCAATGAGGCGTCCAATGAGTCCCCAGGGCTACAACCCTCGTCAAAATGAACCTCAAACATGTCTTACGTGGCTGAATTGTTCGTGGGGAGATATTGGACAGAGTAGCGATGACTGCGAGGTACTTGTATGCGCCGCCCCTTCAATGTCGGTCATCTTCGAACTTCCGAGTCGTTCCCGGTCAGACCACCTTTGCCCGGGCCCCGACATTGGAGGGGCGTCGTATCGACATTGAAGGGCGCGCCGACATCGCAGGGGCGTGTTCGCTATTTCTGCTTTGACGAGGGTAGTACGAACCCCCAGGAAGACTGCGAACGGGCCCGATCACCAAAAATCACCGTGACGTCGCAAACACCGACCCGACCACACCGTGACGCTGGAAACACCCACGAACACACGAACATCCTGGCAACCACCGTCAACTCATCACGAAGCAAGGAAGATCCCCTTAGTGCGAACACTGCTAGGGAAATCAACAACTTCACACAATATAATCAGACTGCGCTTCCCACGTAGATAGGGGGCCACATGCGAACCCTACCCCCACCCCCCACGAAGTGAAACCCACCCTCCCCCTGAGAAACCGTGGGGGGTAGGGGTAGGGGGCGCATGTGGCCCCCTGGTGGAAGTGAAGCCATGTGGTGCCTCCAGCTCTTCGCCTGACCTCCTCGAGAGGCGTCCCTGGCCGCGCGCACTCTCCGGCGCTCTCGAGCAGCTAAGCTCCAACGGGTCGCCGAGCGAAGCTTTTTGGACCAGGGATTTCAACAGTGAGCACCCGCCGCAAGATGCAAGGCCACTTACGGGATCGAATGCAGGAGCTGCGGGCATGCAACTGTCATGAGGCAGATAGCGGAATCGAGCAATCTGCCCACCAAGAGATGTTGAGGCCCATGCTGGACGCGAGCAAAGAAAAGACCAGGAGCAAGATACACAGAAATATGACAACTAAGTGTAGTCACATTCCGCTGCACATTGAATGTCAACACGTTCAAATGCCATCACCTCTCAAATTACCACTCGCAAGGCCGCGGAAGAGACCACGCAAGTCGGTGCTCATTTTTCCATCGCTCAGCGGCAGACAGCACCGAAGAAATGCTGGTAGTACGTGGGCGAGCTCTTACTAACCTTGCGGTTAACAACCGAATTATCCACAGCACTTGAGCAATACTGTCATGAATCCGCCGACCCCTGCTTGCCGGGGGACGACAGAGGGGGGGAAAGCCCCTGGGGGGGGCGCTCAGGGGGTGGTGTTGGGGGCACGAGCTCGTCAACGCATCTCCGGGGCCTTCGGAGTCTCAGAAACGACCTTCTGTGGCCGCCATGATGCTTTCTGAGATGGCTCCAGAAGGGCTCCGAAACGGCACACCGGAGAGGCCTCCAGAACACCCCAGATAGCCGCAAGACGGCCCAAGACGCCAAAAGTGGAACCCAAGAGAACCCCCCGAGAAACACAAAATGGATGCCCATACAGTCTCCGCATTATTTTCGCACTCTCGCCTCTCGGGCGCATGCAAGCCCCAAACTGGAGGCTTCCTAGATGGGGTCGGAGTAAATGGGGTGGGAGGGTCGCGCCGCATCGGCGATACATCGGCGATGCATCGGCGATGCATCGCCGATGCATTGGCGATGCACTGGCGACGTCGGCGATGCATCGGCACCGTCGGCGTGAAGAAAATCGGGCTCCACATCGAGCCGCATCGCCGATGCATCGGCGGTGCGGCGCGATCCTCTGGCCCCATGTGCTCGGACCCCATCCAGGAGGCCCAGAAAAACAGCGTGAGAGGCCCCCCAGACGGCCCAAGAGGCCCCCAAGAGGGCCTGGAGACGGCCGAAGAGGGTCCCAAGAGGCCCCCCAGACGGGACCAAAACCTCCAAGAAGCCCCAGGAGGAGCCCAACAGAGGCCCAAGAGCCCCAGAGAGCCCCAGAGGGGCCTACGAGGAGCCCAAGAGAGGCCCAGGAGAGGAGGAGGAGCCCAAGAGATGCCAAGAGAGGGAGCCCAAGAGAGGCTCCGGAGGGGGAACCCGTAGGGGCCCAGGGAGCCCCTCCCCACAAGATGGCCCCCAAGACCCCCAACATGGCCCCGAGGGGCGCTCAACAAAAACCTCGGGAGCCTTGGGGAAGAGCGCTGAGAGGCTGCCCCCCAAGCCTCCAAGAGGCCACCGAGAAGCCCTGCAACAGACACGGAGGATGTTGAGGACGAATCAGCAGCAGCTACACGCAGGCCGCAGAACGGTAAGTCGCAAACAACACGCACGAGATTGGAAGCCGCACGTGTTCGATTTGGGGGGTCGGCGGAATGGCGGAAGCCCCTCGAGTAACGTGTCAACTCCCGTATTTAGGGAGGAAAGCAAGTTCTTGTGCAACTTGACCGCATCTTGACGCCACCTCTTCACCCTCATCCTTCTCCGTCTCCTCGCAACTCCATGCGAATTGCACAAACCTACGACGGGCACGCTCAGATGCCAGCAGGGACTCTGAACCCTGAGAGTGGCACAACAAGCGTAATTCTCAAGGCGAGCCAGTGCTTGGTGCTGGCAGCAGGCCTTACAGAATTGCTCAATACTCATCGCACCAAAAGAGCCTAAGCGCCAGTTCCGCGACAGCGCGGCGGAGCCCAAGCATCAATCCCTGCCCTCGCAAACGTTTTCAAGTGAATTGGCCACCGTACAAACGCAGCTAAGAGGGACCCACTTGCCCAGCCGGATCTGAAAATGGGGACCTGTGTGTGTGTATGTGTGTGTTGTGCGTGTGTGTATGTGTGTGTGTGTGTGTGCGCGTGTGTATTGGGGTGTTTGCG